TTGATATGCCAGATCTGCGGACAGACTGCTAATGGCCCAGTCACAATGTCGGCGATCTGTCGGCATGGGGTTTGGTTTTTTGGAGGGCGAATGGTGTCATTTAGTACGGTTTAGAACTACAGGGTTACAACTTAATATGGAATATTTTTTATCATTGTTATTTTTGAGTGCTGATTAAAATTCTTTTGGCTTGATTCATCAAAAAAGTATGTCATTGAGTGAGAAAAATGTGCAGTCTTCTGTTGTGAGATATTTTGGTCAACAATATCAAATCTGACATAAGATGTCATTAAAAAGAAAAGTAACCCCTAGAAAAGCATATCAACAGTTTGATGTCAGTATTAACTTTAAGCTAAGATATTAAAGAAAATGATATCCTCCGGACAGTGATATGTTACACAGTCAAAGAACTCATTACAGTAAATCATGAAAAGTCATCAATAGCGGGTATGACCTCCAGCAGCAGCTTGCAGCGCCCTCATCCTACATGGCATACCCTGTGGCAAGATTTTTTTGAGTTTGGGTGGGGATATCATTCCACGCAGTGATATTTGCCTGTCGCATTTCATCACTTTTACAGGCCGATGACCATAGCTATTAATTCTGTGAGTTACTTCCGCCCACACCACAGATTTTCAATTGGGTTCATATCTGGGGAGTTTGCAGATCAGGGCAGTTGCTGAACCCGTTGGTTTTGAAGAAAAACAGTGATTCTGCGAGCTCGGTGAGGTGTTGCGCAGTCGTCTTGGTACACAAAGTTGTTCCTGAAGATGACTCTTACAAATCGAAGCATTGTTTGCTGTATAATGTCTCTGTAGGAATCCTGGTTCAGGTTGCCTCTTAGAAAAACCAACTGGTTCTGGGCACCGGTATGAAAGGTTCCCCAAACAGAGACGTTCCCACCCCTTGCTTGCACCCTAGGCAGTACACAATCATCGTTTTATGCCTTTTGTACACGTCGGCGGAAACGGATTCGACCGTCAACCCTAAAAAATCCATATCTGGCCTCATCACTGAAAACGACTTGATTCCAGTGTTTTGGCTGCAAAAGCACGTGGTGCAGACGTCGCTGTATTTGACCTGCTGTTAACAGTGGTTTTCCTACTGGTCTTCGTGCAAAATAACCGGCTTGTAGTAATCATTTGTTCACGGGGGACCATGAAACGGGCGTTTGAATGACATTCTGCCACTCTTTTCTGAGGACACTGGTTGTCTTTGTACGACCAGCACGGCGCACTCTAAGGAGAAGCCGATCCTGTCTTCTTGGTGTGATACGAGGACACCCTGGTCGAGGTATTGCAGTAGGTGCCCCTGTTGCAGCATTTCTTTGGAGGACTTAATACAAACGGTTCCTGATAAATGTTGAATTGCCTGACAATGACTGTCCGTTTCTGGCCATTTTCTCTGACAGCAAGAATCCCATTGTAAGCTGCGTTGCTCAGCTGTCGAACCATATCTTCTCTAAGGTACCTGTCAAGTGTCAGAGCGATCCCTTTGTTGCTTCTCTAAATACACTCCAAAGATTGACCAAACCCATGCGTTTTTATACAAGGACAGAAATTGCCGAAAATACCACCCCTCACATTTCTGACCACAGAACATGCAACTGCATGCATCAATTGTTGCGAGAGATGTGTGGTAATAAGGTAACACACCTGGCTACACATGGAGTGACACCTCAGTTTTGGATTTAAAATAGTTAGAAAGAATACAAATATTTTGTAGAAAATTTGCTCGCCAAAAAATAATATTCCATGTTAAGTAGTAACCCTGTATGATTCAGCTAGTCTAATTCTAATTTCAAGAAGGATCACTGGTGTGATTTTTTCAGCAATCGAAGGTGGGGGGGGGGGGGGGGGGGTCAGTTCCCCCCTAACACANTGACCACAGAACATGCAACTGCATGCATCAATTGTTTCGAGAGATGTGTGGTAATAAGGTAACACACCTGGCTACACATGGAGTGACACCTCAGTTTTGGATTTAAAATAGTTAGAAAGAATACAAATATTTTGTAGAAAATTTGCTCGCCAAAAAATTATATTCCATGTTAAGGAGTAACCCTGTATGATTCAGCTAGTCTAATTCTAATTTCAAGAAGGATCACTGGTGTGATTTTTTCAGCAATCGAAGGTGGGGGGGGGGGTCAGTTCCCCCCTAACACACCCCTAAACCCGCCACTTTATCAACGGTTCCTTTGTTTCACCTAACCTGGTGGATACAATCGACCGCATTATTCCGCGTTCGATAAATTGTTAACTCCACTGTCGGCGATTGGTCAACAGTTGAATGATTAAAGATGTTTATAAGTCCACTTTTCTTTGCCTGCTTATGTTTACAACCTCGGGCACAGAAGGTCACGGCTGTTCCAAATCAATGGCGGATACAGCATCGGTAAAAAGGGTTCGATAGGCTGGGATTATCTAGCTACAGATTTACTTTAGAAACAGATCATTATCTTGCGCCAATTTTATATCTGCAAAATTTGTGAGTAACGTTTGCACATCATTCCTTAGGTGTTGAATAAAATACCAGAAATACCGAGGCTAATTAATTAAACAGCTAAAAAGAGAATTCTCATTCTAATTTTCATTTTCATATAAAGATAAGTAGAAAAGAAACAAGGCAAACAATTGCCTCTTAGTCTAAATGTAAACTTTTTTTCCGAAATCCTGTGTTTTTTCTTTTGTGCTAAGTGTCAAAACATCGTGCTTTTTTAGATGGTCTCGATAGACGTTCAGTCACCTTGTAACATTGGATCAATCCCCTATCAAATTAAATATCGAATTGCCTCCTTGTTCTATATTACTTTACCCAGTAGTCGATATCACTTCAGTAACAGATCAATACGGTGACCTTAGATTTGGATAATCTAGAGACCCCATTCCCATAGATATTTAGATCGATCTATCCCATTGGGGAGTCTCACTAGCTAGGTGTCAACTTAACCGGCTTAAATGTCTGTCCCGCCTACTAAAAGCTGTAAGGAAGTAATTATCTTTGCCCCCTAGCTGACATTTAAGCCAGTTAGTTGATGGCAATTTAGCGAGACTCCCCAGGGAGTTAGACCGATCCAGATGGATCGATCTAGCATGGGAATCCAGACATTAGTCATTTGATGCTAAGTGTGAAACTGTGGATCAGTTAAAGATTAAAGATTCTGTGTCTGAAAGTAGTCTGGGTCCCAGCTGGTAAGAAGGAAAAATGATCGTCCACGTCTCCAATTCCTGATCGAACTTTAGACTTATTAAATACGACTCGAGGCAGCTGAAGGTGACGCAGGGATTTATAACGAAACGAAATCGCACTCCGTTGGAGNCCCCTAAACCCCGCCACTTTATCAACGGTTCCTTTGTTTCACCTAACCTGGTGGATACAATCGACCGCATTATTCCGCGTTCGATAAATTGTTAACTCCACTGTCGGCGATTGGTCAACAGTTGAATGATTAAAGATGTTTATAAGTCCACTTTCTTTGCCTGCTTATGTTTACAACCTCGGGCACAGAAGGTCACGGCTGTTCCAAATCAATGGCGGATACAGCATCGGTAAAGAGGGTTCGATAGGCTGGGATTATCTAGCTACAGATTTACTTTAGAAACAGATCATTATCTTGCGCCTATTTTATATCTGCAAAATTTGTGAGTAACGTTTGCACATCATTCCTTAGGTGTTGAATAAAATACCAGAAATACCGAGGCTAATTAATTAAACAGCTAAAAAGAGAATTCTCATTCTAATTTTCATTTTCATATAAAGATAAGTAGAAAAGAAACAAGGCAAACAATTGCCTCTTAGTCTAAATGTAAACTTTTTTCCGAAATCCTGTGTTTTTTCTTTTGTGTTAAGTGTCAAAACATCGTGCTTTTTTAGATGGTCTCGATAGACGTTCAGTCACCTTGTAACATTGGATCAATCCTCTATCAAATTAAATATCGAATTGCCTCCTTGTTCTATATAACTTTATCCAGTAGTCGATATCACTTCAGTAACAGATCAATACGGTGACCTTAGATTTGGATAATCTAGAGACCCCATCCCCATAGATATTTAGATTACTAAAAGCTGTAAGGAAGTAATTATCTTTGCCCCCTAGCTGACATTTAAGCCAGTTAGTTGATGGCAATTTAGCGAGACTCCCCAGGGAGTTAGACCGATCCAGATGGATCGATCTAGCATGGGAATCCAGACATTAGTCATTTGATGCTAAGTGTGTAACTGTGGATCAGTTAAAGATTAAAGATTCTGTGTCTGAAAGTAGTCTGGGTCCCAGCTGGTAAGAAGGAAAAATAATCGTCCACGTCTCCAATTCCTGATCGAACTTTAGACTTCTTAAATACGACTCCAGGCAGCTGAAGGTGACGCAGGGATTTATAATGAAACGAAATCGCACTCCGTTGGAGGGGTGGTTTAAAATAGATGTTATGTAGATGTTACCTCTTTATCTACTCATATGACAGTCGTCTGACAGCAATTTAGCGTGAACCCCCAGGGAGTTAGGTCGATCCAGATGGATCAATCTAAACCTCTGGGAATGCACTCTAGAGTAACATGTCTTCTGACCTTTTCGTTCACCTCACAGTCTGGGTCGGCCACACACTCGAGGACCTGCTGTCCATTAAGTGAATGTAATTAGTGAATGGTGCTTTTATTAGTTTAAAGTAGTTTTGCGAATTGAACATATCACGTTTTACTTAAAAACGTATTTTTTTCTGGATTCAGCTACAAAGCAGGTGATACTTCAGAAAGTGAGGGGGTGGGGGTGGGGGGGGCAAATGCTTGTTTTCTCTCCTCCAAACTTCTTCAACCATTTGTAACCATGGCAATGAGGGGATTTTAGGTTTTCATATATCATCGTTGTTTGTGGTACGTCACGTACATTGTTTATTATCATTATTATTATTATTATCCAAATAAAAAAAGAAAATGGTTGTGTGCTGATGAATTAATAATGAGACGCTTTTTAATTAAATTGTTCAAAGTAATATGATTATTTCCAGCTCTGGTTGGTCTCCTCCACGTCACCAACAGTACCATATCCTGCGTGGCCACCGTCCAACATGGCGGCAGCCTGACCGAAAGTGTAATAGCGTCACTTCCGGACAGTACTCTGACCGTCTGCTCCAACGCCTGTTTCCAGAACATCTCGTGCCGCTCGGCTAGTTACGACCACGGCACGGGTGCTTGCGTCCAGAGCACTGAGTCGACTCCCGAAATTGCTGCAGGATCTACGATGTTGACCTTTGACGGCTGTGCAGGGTTTGAGAGCATGGTGAGATTAACGTACCAGCATAATACACACTAACAGATATATATATTTTTTTTTGCAAGGTCCTATAGGAAGTCCTTAGGGGAACTGTCCAATAGGATGTCGAATAGATTTCTTATCGAGTAACAAGGAATCCTTCAAATTTTCATAAGTCCCTGATGGTCCTTGAAAATATTTCAATTGGACAAGGGCATACTTATGTTGAAAAATATTAATTGGAATTATGTTCACATCTTTCGGAATCTCGATGAAGGCGTAGAATAAATTTTTACTTGAGGAACAATCGAGAGCACGTGTTAAATTATAATAAATTATTCATTTCTAGATAGCGATGTAACTTTGGTAAAACTTACTGTTTATTCCCACTATTGCAAATTATATCAAAGCTATAGGCCTATCTCAAATAGAATTTATAGTTACGCTATTCAGAACTCTACATTCACTTTGAAGAAGAGTGTTCATAGGTTGAATATTACTATATAAGCTTATGCCAAATTATTGACCAATCAAATGCCAACACTTACTGGTACATGTAGTTTCAATTGGTATAACATAAAGAAGAACCACTGTATTATTCCCATGGAATAATTTTAGCACGTATATGTTCTCTTGCTCTGAGCGGTAATATAACCATGGGTTATACTGTCTTGCAACCGTTTCCACAAGAATCTTACCATTTTCAGTGCGCCAGTTCTCCGTGCCAAAATGGCGGCACGTGTATCGACGGTACATCCGGAAGTCTGCACAACTATACCTGCGCTTGCGCAACCGGGTTTGTCGGCGAGCACTGTGAAGTTCAACCAGTCAGCGTCACATGCGGCGTTCATTGGATAAGCGCGTGTCAGGGGACGTATGGAAACGACCCGTGCACGTAAGTACCTGAGAAAACAGCATCTCTCTCTCTCTCTCTCTCTCTCTCTCTCTTTATCTCTCTGAGATTGTGACTAATTCTTGCTTGGAAATTCATTTGTTGCTATGTTGTATTACAGAGGGTGTGAAGTACAGTAATTAGATAAGCTTAGAATTCTTCCAAATTTTTATGTCAGGTGATAAGTACATCACGATATTTGTCTTAACTTGCTTACATGTCGGTATATTTCCTGGGCCTGTGTATGTTAAAAAAAAAAAAACATCCCACCCACATACATTTATTTACATTTTGTTGTGTGATTGTGCACCATTCTTCTACAAGTAGGTATGGCGATTCAACTTTTCACACGAGCCAGTCAAGGTTCTTCAAACTGATGACGCTTGAAAAGATCATGTTATATAAGTAGAAAGCCGCATTTAGTCTCTTGAGATACAAAATACTCCCCCCCCCCCACGCCCCCACGCCCAAGACAGCGGGTGTACTTAGTGATAATTCGATCGTCGTTACAGGGTTTCCTGTCCGAGCGGATGTATCAATTCTGGAAGCATCTGGGGCACGGGAGACTACACGGGGGTAAGTAGACGTTGAGTGCAGAATTTTACATTATTTAATTTAAAGAGGCATTTAAAGTAATATTTGTCACAAAACCAGACCAAACGTTACGTTAAAATACCGAAGACGATATTCAAGATCCCTTTTCATGCTGAAAGTTATATTGTTTCAAGCGGTCTTTGGCTGTACCTAAAGTCATTATATTTCAATATTTGTGAAGGATTCTGCTTTGTGCCGTTCCGCCATTCATGACGGCCGCATTCCCGAGTCTGGTGGCGTCGCTACCGCAATCGGTCTGGGGGCGCTGCAGTCGTACGTCGGGAGCACACAGAACGGAATAACGACGTCGAGGTAAGCTGACGAAAATAGTGGCGGATTCAGAGACCCCCCCCCCCCTTCAGTTTCTGGAATATATATTAATCACCAATTTTTCCCTCTTGAAATTAGAACTTTGATTAGCTAAATTAAACTGTAGTTATAAACCGTACAAAAAGGCTTTGCTCTCCAAAGCACCAACAAATTTTCGGGGCACTAGAGCAGGCCCCGAGCCCCAAACCAAGGGGCGATGATAGGCTTCCATTCGAGGCCTGTCGTTCTGGACTCCCCCCCCCCCCCCCCCCCCCTTTAAATGATCCTGGATCCGCCCCTGCGTAAGGATGCATTCTAGAATGCTGTAAATGTTCTGTGCGTGCGCTCATGCATGCGTGTGTGCGATACAACACTTAGGTAACCAGACATATGTGCCTGTACTGTGTTAATTGATGTAATTTTTTGGTGCGTGCGTGGGTGCATGTGGGTCACAGCATCAAGACGAAAAGACAGAAACTGCTCTCTGGTTTGTTGATGCGTGCATGGGCGTGTACATGTGTGGATGTGTGTGTGTGTGTGTGTGTGTGTGAAAGAGAGAGAGCAGTGACGGATTTAGAGGTGGGGTCAGGGGGGTCCTGACTCCCCCTTCGATTTCTGAAAAATATCACACTAATATCGCACTCTTGAGATTAGAAATTTGACTAGTTGAATCATAGTTCTTAACCGCAACAAATGGCATCGTTCGCCCTCTAAAATGTCAAAATTTTCGGGGCCCTTCTTCCAGGGGGGGGGGGGGGGGGAGGGTCGGCATCGCATCCGCCGACACCCCCTCAAGTAATCTTGGATCCACCTCTGGAGAGAGATTGTGTGTGTGTTCGTATTCGTGTGTGTGTGTNGCCTCTGGAGAGAGATTGTGTGTGTGTGTTCGTATTCGTGTGTGTGTGTGTTTTGCAGCATTGAGGTAACCTGACATAAATGCTGAGCTGTTTTTTGTAATCTCCGCGTTTGTGCAGGTGTGTCTGAGAAAGAGAGAGAGTGAGAGAGTGTGTGAATACGATTATTTTTCATCCTCTGTGGGTGCGAGAGGTTTGTTTGTACTTGCGTGTTAGTATCATAGTGCACGTGCATCAGTGATTGTGAGGCATACACTTATGTTTATTTTGTTATGCACCGCTACATATAAATATATTGCTTTAAGAATAAATTGAAAAACTGGAAGCATTCAATTCCCTTCATGAGCACATGCAATGGTATAGTTCTGATAGATAACATAAAACTTAACTGCTGAGTTTAGCGTACCGTACTTTAAACAGGGAAATATACATGTGCGAAAGCGAAAATATAAGCGTTTATTTGACAGGTAAAACACACGTATTTTGTTTTCTTGGACTCAGAGTTTGATTCACTTTCTTTTCTTTTTTTCCAGCTACGGCAGTTACGGCTCTTCTTTCCGATTTATTTAACAACTAACAGGAAGTTCAGACGACGACGTATCAAATATGGTTTTGAATATCCAACGAATTCCTACTTTCTGCCTATTTAACTGCACACAAGACCTATACACAAAGATATATGAAAAACTGACAACCTGCATCTGCCCAGTTATGAACGGAAACCACTTTCATTTAGACACCAAACATGTATATGACGTCATCCATCGGCATTGATATTACCATTATTATTAAGAATACCATGACAACAAACTATAGGCACGGGCTGATCAATATTTTACAATTGGGAGTGATGGCATACAGCGCTGTAAAAACAAGTAAAAAGGGATGATTTTTTCTATAATAGGTATGAATCTGTGGCAAACAAACTACAGGGTGCGTTTTTATGAAAAAAATACTTATTTTGCCTCGTTTTGCTGGTAATATAAAATGGTACATGCATATTTCTGGGTGGGTGGGGTCGGGGGGGGGTCTAGTGGGGTGGGGTGGAGGTGGGGGGGAAGAGGTGAAAAGAGAAGAAAGCGGTGTATGTTAAGTTAGGGTGAAGGGAAGGTCACGTGACCCCCTGGATACCCCCTTTTGAAACACCTGTGCTGAAATAAACTACTGAAGCGGGGATTGATTTGAATGTATTATTTGATGATTGATGATACCAACTAGGTATTGACTATGGTGCTCGGAATGCAGGGCTTGCGATACAATTCACCGTTCCCTTTTTGCCTCAACTATGCTTTCATGCTGTGTAATTGTTGTTGTTTTTTATTTTTATTTTTGTAAAGAATGTATCATTCCTATTTAACTGATGTTTACCAAGTTTTTTTTTTAATTTCAACGTGATCATGCGCACAATAAAAGTTATTCAATATAATATCTTATGGCTATACGTATCTCCGATATATTTTTTTCTTTTTAAGTTAAAAAAAACCAAAAATATTATTTTAGCTTCCTTGTCTGTATGGTCTATTGTTTACAAACCAAGATATAAATATTAAAGCTTTTTTTCTGTATATCATTCACTATTAATGCTGTTAAAAACAGATAAATAAATAAATTAAATTTCATGAGTTTCTCTTTAATAAATTAAAATAAATTAGTTTATGTATTGGTTTACAAAAATGCTAGTAATATTTCAATGAATTGCAGTAATTAAAATAAGTGAAATATATTTTACCTTTTTAGCACTTCTGGAGAGAGACACAAACTGTATATTTGACACATCTCTCAAATTTCAATTCAACAAGTAGAACAAAAGTATTTATAACACAACGTTTCTTTATTATATAAATATATACCAAAAATATGAATACAACAATATAATAACAAACAAATAGATTAATGAATGAATAAACAGATAAACAAAAAAGCAAACAAGTAAATGTTAAATAAATAAATAAATACATATATAAATAAATAAACTTTATAAAGACACATCCTTTTATCACAGTTACGAGTTTTTTAGAGGACTATTTCTGATCAACATATCTCTGTAGCACTTCAGCCACATAATAGGTGTTCAGGTAATTTCCTTATCATATTTCTGCCTGGCAGATTTATCCAATTTTTTTGCATGCAGAATTGAAACTATTGCATCAATATTGAAATTAAAATGGATTAATAGGTACTCATGTTAGTTTTTCTGCTATAGTGATATGAACTTTGGTTTCAAATAGTAAAAAAAATCATATGGAAAATTTAATTGATTTTACACATATTTTCAATTTTTTCTTCACAGATGAGGTACTTCTATAGTCCATATATCCTACACATGGTCTTCAGTACGTACGGCAGACATAGATTAAAATAATTGATAGGTACCCATACAAATTTCGTAGCAATAGCAACATGTTTTCAGATAAAAGCGATCTCTTTTGCAAGTTCTCCAGCGCTAGCTGCTGACTCAATTGGCAACAAAAAAAGGCGTTAATCCAGGACGTTGTTGCGCAGTGTAGCATAAAGACTACCTTAACCAGATAAACGAGCTGCAAATACCTCAACTAATGATACGATCGATGCCACTACAGTGTGTAAATATTTACTTGCATGCTATAATAGTTTTCATAACCTACAACAACAGGATGTGCATAAACTTCCTGTAAGGGTATTAAGCTGCCGGATACACTAATTACAGTATCAACCGGTAGTTGAAAATAAATCACAATGCGCGATATTGAAAGTTACCATGACAACGGAAATATTCCCAAGACTATCGTGACTATTTACTATTTATTGACTTACATAAGGGAAACTCTAATGATAACACAAACAATATCACAATAGTGGGATCGGGCTCTGCCAAGAAAGTCAAGATGTTAGACACACACACGCAAACACACACGCGTCTCTTTTTGCTTTTATATATATATAATAGGAAAATATGATAATTTTACTATGATTTACAGGGATTAGTGAGAACTTAAAGAAGGTCACGTGTTTGTGTTAACTCGTGTTGCCTTAAATACTATATTTTACCTCTTTTTGGGGGAGAGGGTCCTAATTTACATCTGGTACGTCCTCAACACGTGACGTCATCAACACAGATCACCCGTTGATACAGCCGGAGACGAGTTCCCAGCTATGACGTCATCAAAGTAACTGCCATCATTGGCAGTGCTTTCTTCGTCCATATAAAAGTGCGGGGTTAGGATCAAGCCCCCTTTAGTTTTCACATCATTTTTTGTCTTGTCTTGCCACGTGACACAGCACTTCGGCTTTGGAGAGACTGCGAGGTCTGTGTCGCCATGGGAACTGTTCAGACCAGTGCCAAGAGGCCCCGGGGCAGTGTTTTCTGCGCTGTCAGAGCACTGGACGCGTATTTGCAAGCAGCGCGTGCTTGATTTCGAGTCCTCAGCGAGCTCTTCAATGGCGTGAATATCAGAGTTCAGGGGCGCGTCTCTTTTTGCTTTCATTTTGGGTCTAGGCGTCCCCCCGCGTGGCATGTAGGCAAGCTTAAGCGAAGACAGGGTGGTGAATGTAGTCGAAGCATTCTCTTCGCTCTCTATGTTCACCACTGCTGTACTGTCATGGCTCCTGTTTTGGCGCATCTGTTTCAGTAATCTGAACATTTCAATCCTCAAGTATTTGTTAAGATATCCATAGATGACAATGTTCAAAACACTCGAGCAGTGCGCCAGCAAGGTAGCAGTGGTAACAACCACGTCGTCTACTGTGTTACCGGACACCTGCAGGCCAGCTACTATGAAATAAGGCACCCAACACGTGAGAAATGCCACTGCAATTAACAGTATGGTCCGAGCGGCCTTGCAGTCGCGCGATTGGCTGTACCGAGATGGCTCCGAGACGACCTCGCTGCTCATGGTCTCCTGACTCTCAGCGTCTCCAAACACGCCGTCACTGATCTCTGCTCTGTCCACCGTGGGGACGAGGACGTCCGGGGGCTGGCGAGGGGACACGTAGGAGGACTGGGGAACCGGATGGACCCTGTTGCTTCTCCTGGTGTGGCCTAATGCCACGTTAAATATACTACAGTAGCACCATATCATTCCTATGAGAGGCAGTATATAGCTGAATGAGGAGAAGAAGATGANTTTTTTTTTTTTTTTTTGCATATTTTGAGAATTCTTGTTGATTGCATTTTATTAGAGCTTGTCAAGCACAAGACTGGTGGTGGAGTCCCTTTTTTTGGGTGGGGGGTCCATACGAATGCGCTTACTCCAGCTGGTGGTACAATATCCGGAGGCGGTATCGCCTCTCTGATCCTCTAGTTTTGTTATGTAGCTGCTACTGCACCGCTACATATAAATATATTACTTTAAGAATAAATTGAAAAACTGGAAGCATTCAATTCCCTTCATGAGCACATATAATGGTATAGTTCTGATAGATAACATAAAACTTAACTGCTTACTTTAGCGTACCGTACTTTAAACAGGGAAATATACATGTGCGAAAGCGAAAATATAAGCGTTTATTTGACAGGTAAAACACACGTATTTTGTTTTCTTGGACTCAGAGTTTGATTCACTTTCTTTTATTTTTTTCCAGCTACGGCAGTTACGGCTCTTCTTTCCGATTTATTTAACAACTAACAGGAAGTTCAGACGACGACGTATCAAATATGGTTTTGAATATCTAACGAATTCCTACTTTCTGCCTATTTAACTGCACACAGGACCTATACACAAAGATGTATGAAAAACTGACAACCTGCATCTGCACAGTTATGAACGAAACCACTTTCATTTTGACACCAAACATGTATATGACGTCATCCACGTATGAGGAAGTGACGTCATGCGACAGAAACCATCGGCATTGATATTACCATTACTATTAAGAATACCATGACAACAAACTATAGGCACGGACTGATCAATATTTTACAATTGGGAGGGATGGCATACAGCGCTGTAAAAACAAGTAAAAAGGGATGATTTTTTCTATAATAGGTATGGATCTGTGGCAAACAAACTACATGGTACGCGTTTTTCTGAAAAAAAAACTTATTTGGTAATATAAAAATGGTACATGCATATGTCTGGGTGGGTGAGAGTGGGGGTGGGGGTGAGGAGGTGAAAAGAGAAGAAAGCGGTGTATGTTAAGTTAGGGTGAAGGGAAGGTCACGTGACCCCCTGGATACCTCCTTTTGAAACACCTGTGCTGAAATAAACTACTGAAGTGGGGATTGATTTGGATGTACAGACTTGACATTTAATATGGAATATTTTTTTCCAAACCATTTTTCATCAGTTTTTTCCAATTTTGCTGACTGATAAATGAAAATAAGGATTAAAAACGTGTTTTAATAACTTCAAATTATCTCTTTGATGTCATGTTGACATCAGATCATTGATTGAATTCGACAGTGAAGCAAGCAGAAATACATTGCCTATTCTATGTAATACGACAACCATTAAAACCTTTGCCTAACCCAAGCTTTGACCAGCCCAAATGAACACTACCCGATTAAATCACTGCATATTACATAATGTAGCAGCGCAACAGACATGGAAGTCATTTAATTGGTAGCGACACACCTGACTTCACACTTGTCCATTCACAAATCTTATATGAGATCGGTGTTTTTTGAAAAAAGAATGCATTTTACCAAGGCATAGCTTCAAAACTGAAATATTCCATATTAAATGTCAAGTCTGTATTATTTGATAATTGATGACACCAACTAGGTATTGACCATGGTGCTCAGAATGCAGGGCTTGCGATACAATTCACCGTTCCCTTTTTGCCTCAACTATGCTTTTCATGCTGTGTAATTGTTGTTGTTTTTTATTTTTATTTTTGTAAAGAATGTATCATTCCTATTTAACTGATGTTTACCAAGTTTTTTTTTTAATTTCAACGTGATCATTCGCACAATAAAAGTTATTCAATATAATGTATTATGGCTATACGTATCTCCGATATATTTTTTTCTTTTTATGTTTAAAAAAAACAAAATATTATTTTAGCTTCCTTGTCTGTATGGTCTATTGTTTACAAACCAAGAAGAAAATATTAAGGCTTTTTTCTGTATATCATTCACTATTAATGCTGTTAAAAACAGATAAATAAATTAATTTAATTTTATGAGTTTCTCTTTAATAAATTAAAATAAATTAGTTTATGTATTGATTTACAATAATGGTAGTAATATTTCAATGAAGTGCAGTTATTAAAATAAGTAAAATATATTTTACCTTTTATAGAACTTCAGGAGAGAGACACAAACTGTACTCTTGACACATCTCTCAAATTTCAATTCAACAAGTAGAACACAGTATTTATAACACAACGTGTCTTTATTATATAAATATATACCAAAAATATGAATACAACAATATAATAACAAACAAATAAATAAATGAATGAATAAACAGATAAACAAAAAAGCAAACAAGTAAATGTTAAATAAATAAATACATAAATAAATAAATAAATAAATATATACATAAATAAATAAACTTTATAAAGACACATCCTATTATCACAGTTACGAGTTTTTTAAGAGGACTATTTCTGATCAACATATCTCTGTAGCACTTCAGCCACATAATAGGTGTTCAGGTAATTTCCTTATGATATTTCTGCCTGGCAGATTTATCCATTTTTTTTGCATGCAAGATTGACACTTTTGCATCAATATTGAAATTAAAAACAGATTAACAGGTACCGATGTTACATGTAGTTTTCCTGCTGTAGTGATTTGAACTAGGATTTCAAATACCAAAGGATCCTATGGAAAATTTAATTATTTTTCCATATTTTTCATATTTTCTTCACAGATGAGGTACTTCTATAGTCCATATATCCTACACATGGTCTTCAGTACGTACGGCAGACAAAGATTAAAATAATTGATAGGTACCCATACAAATTTCGTAGCAATAGCAACATGTTTTCAGATAAAAGCGATCTCTTTTGCAAGTTCTCCAGCGCTAGCTGCTGACTCAATTGGCAACAAAAAAGGCGTTAATCCACGACGTTGTTGCGCAGTGTAGCATAAAGACTCTACCTTAACAAGATAAACGAGCTGCAAATACCTCAACTAATGATACGATCGATGCCACTACAGTGTGTAAATATTTACTTGCATGCTATAATAGTTTTCATAACCTACAACAACAGGATGTGCATAAACTTCCTGTAAGGGTATTAAGCTGCCGGATACACTAATTACAGTATCAACCGGTAGTTGAAAATAAATCACAATGCGGGATATTGAAAGTTACCATGACAACGGAAATATTCCCAAGACTATCGTGACTATTTACTTTTTATTGACTTACATAAGGGAAACTCTAATGATAACACAAACAATATCACAATAGTGGGATCGGGCTCTGCCAAGAAAGTCACGATGTTACACACACACACACACACACACACGCGCGTCTCTTATTGTTTTTATATGTATATACATATATATAATAGGAAAATATGACAATTTTACTATGATTTAGAGGGATAAGTGAGAACTAGGGGAGGATCACTTGTTTTTTTTTACTCGTGTGGACTTAAATGCTGTCCTTTGTCTCTTTTTGTTGGAGAGGGTCCTAATTTACATCTGGTACGTCATTAACACCTGACGTCATCAACACAGATCACCCGTTGATACAGCCGGAGACGAGTTCCCAGCTATGACATCATCAAAGTAACTGCCATCATTGGCAGTGCTTTCTTCGTCCATATAAAAGTGCGGGGTTAGGATCAAGCCCCCTTTAGTTTTCACATCATTTTTTGTCTTGTCTTGCCACGTGACACAGCACTTCGGCTTTGGCGAGACTGCGAGGTCTGTGTCGCCATGGGAACTGTTCGGTCCAGTGCCAAGAGGCTGGGAGGCCGTGTTTTCTGCGCTGGCAGAGCACTGGACGCGTATTTGCAAGCAGCGCGTGCTTGATTTCGAGTCCTCAGCGAGCTCTTCAATGGCGTGAATATCAGAGTTCAGGGGCACGTCTCTTTTTGCTTTCATTTTGGATCTAGGTGTCCCCCCGCGTGGCATGTAGGCAAGCTTAAGCGAAGACAGGGTGGTGAATGTAGTCGAAGCATTCTCTTCGCTCTCTATGTTCACCACTGCTGTACTGTCATGGCTCCTGTTTTGGCGCATCTGTTTCAGTAATCTGAACATTTCAATCCTCAAGTATTTGTTAAGATATCCATAGATGACAATGTTCAAAACACTCGAGCAGTGCGCCAGCAAGGTAGCAGTGGTAACAACCACGTCGTCTACTGTGTTACCGGACACCTGCAGGCCAGCTACTATGAAATAAGGCACCCAACACGTGAGAAATGCCACTGCAATTAACAGTATGGTCCGAGCGGCCTTGCAGTCGCGCGATTGGCTGTACCGAGATGGCTCCGAGACGACCTCGCTGCTCGTGGTCTCCTGACTCTCAGCGTCTCCAAACACGCCGTCACTGATCTCTGCTCTGTCCACCGTGGGGACGAGGACGTCTGGGGGCTGGCGAGGGGACACGTAGGAGGACTGGGGAACCGGATGGACCCTGTTGCTTCTCCTGGTGTGGCCTAATGCCACGTTAAATATACTACAGTAGCACCATATCATTCCTATGAGAGGCAGTATATAGCTGAATGAGGAGAAGAAGATAAGGTAGTTTAGAGAGGGCGTGGTGTTAGTCCAGGACAGAGTACAGGACAGAGCCTCTCTCTGAAACCTGTATTCGCCCCAGTTAAACAGCGGAGGGATCGCGACAATGAGGCCAACCAACCAGCTCCAGACAAGCATGATGTTTCCACGTGTCTGCGTGAACACAAACGGGTACCGAAGGGGGGCGATGATGTAGTAGTACCTGTCCAAGGAGACGAGGAGTAAGTTGACGGTAGAGGTAGAGAACAGCACGGTGGTGATGTAACCCTGAGCCTGACACCACTCCGCCCCGAACGCCCACCCCTGTTCCGAGGCCGAGACGATCATAAACGGCATCACCAGCACGGCAAGTCCTGAAATGGGGAAAAAAGTGGACACGTAAATCTTTAATCACCGCGTGCTAATTTTTGCATCCTTCTTTTTTGATATGATAATTTCATACATATTTAATATATCTCCCATTCTTATAATGTTTCCGCTTAAGAGATGTATAAAATGTATAAATCAGAGAAATAAGTGAGTACGCTGCGTTGCTCCAGGTTAAACGGGAAGTCCCTAGACGCTCCGCTATGTGTGGACATCACTGGGGTAATTAAAAGACAGCACAACTCGTTAACAGGTGTTTGTCGTCGCTTGTTAGCAATTACAGCTTTCCCCGCCAGGGGGTCTCTGTGCGTTGTTACAAAATTTCCTGTTTTTTTTTGTAACGACTTGCAGTGACACCTGGTGGAGGCTAGGTTACGGCAAATATGAAACCTGCCTTTCACTACAATTTTAGAATTATACTAGTTGCTTTTTTTTTTCAATTCTATGCCATGTTTTACTTGTAAGAAATAGATAAGGAACACGAGGAAAAAAGACACATACGTCACAGCAAGTGTAAACACATAACTACGTCAGAGCACGTGATAAGACTCACCTACGTCACAGCAAGTGTAAACACATAACTACGTCAGAGCACGTGTTAAGACTCACCTACGTCACAGCAAGTGTCAACACATAACTACGTCAGAGCACGTGTTAAGACTCACCTACGTCACAGCAAGTGTAAACTACGTCAGAGAACGTGTTAAGACTCACCTACGTCACAGCAAGTGTCAACACATAACTACGTCAGAGCACGTGTTAAGACTCACCTACGTCACAGCAGGCCAGGTTCAACAAGAAGCTATTGGATACGGTGAGGAGATGCGGCCGCTTGTAGAAGACAGTACAGATGAGGCAGTTAGTAATCAGAGCGCTGAGGAGAATTACACAGAGGATGGCGATCTCAGCTACCTTTCCCTCAGCACTCGGGGTCTCCGTGGCGTTGGACATGGGCGAAAGGCTGCTGTTTGTAGCACTCATGGTGTCTGTGATGTAACGTGCGCTAGATCTATGAATATGTGTTTTTCTCCGTTGCTCGCATGTTTGCGATGCTCATTAGCCTTACTGAAGTTGAATACATGTCTACGTCTCTTGGTTATGCAACTTTATCCCTGTTTTCTTCGGATCCTGAACTATTTGTTTCTAATGCCTCAAAGATAGTAGAACGCTCCACTTCAAAGTGTCCTTCTGTGCTTGCAGTGTACAATTAGATATAAAATTTTCAAAGTTTGCCTTATTTTAGGCAACTCACATAGAACTAAAATTTCGCTTTGGGCTATTCGCAGATGCTCGAGTTCTCCATTACTGCGACAAGTGTATAATGAGGCTCTGTAAATTGAGACTCCTTCTTTAGGATTCTTTGTTAATATCTGAAATGACACCTACGTCATTACTCCACATCTTGACCAATCGGGTCTCGTGTTATGCTGTTTACCGTCACGATGTGCGAAATAATTACCGCAAAACCCTTGCTGCCTTTGTCGCATCCTGTAACCAGCCCTGTAATAGAGAAAATAAAAAAAAAATAATTAAAAAAAAAAACATTTACAGCAAGAAGTCTACTGCCTGATTAATGAAGCAAACAATTCAGATTTTTAATTCTTCTATACACTGTGCGTGTGGGCTTTTAACAAGCGACGCCCTTTTTGTCAAGATTGCAGCAAGTATATTGAATATATACTAGAATTTTTAAAAATTCTAGTATATTGAATATATACTAGAATTTTTAATAGTTCAACTAATGGTTTGCCCCATTACACTGAGTCTTGATGACGACAATGTGACCCAGAAATATGATTTTTAACATGCTCTTCTCTCTAGGTTTTTCACTGATACTTATTGACTTCATTAGGCCCATGGCTCATTATTCCAGTAACGTAAACAGAATATGTTGTAAGAAAGGTCTATTAATCTTTTGGATTTTTGCCAATGTATTTGTTTTGTTTGGCTTATGTTGCTCTTTGAGCGCAGGGTTTTCGTACGTCACTGATGCTAATTATAATATATTAAAATTATAATTAGTTATCCCGCACCTAGTGATGGGTTTTTGCAATAATACGAGGAAAGATTTGATAAATAACACATTATCATGCCGCGAAACATAAATGGGTCATTATGGTCATCAAAGATATTCCTTAAGCTTCCTCTCCAGCACTTGGATGTAATGGTCTGTGTTAATCTTCCCTTTGACCACCTGTATATATACACACACTGGACAAAAGAAGTGTCACCCCTTTAATCAGAGAAATCAAAGTTATAATGCCTGGTCTACTTATAATGTGACTGATGAGTATAAAACCGCTATACCATGGAATTGTATTGTTGGTCTTTTTGTGAAATTTGATGTTAATAAAATGATACCAGGAGCATATCATTCCACAGTTATTTATCTCCCCCAAAGTATTGGTTCAGAAGGGGTGACACTTCTACTGTCCAGTGTGTGTATATTGTTGAAAAGCAAATAACTTACACTTTCAATAATTACAGATAACAATTAAAACGGAATCAAATGTGCAAAACGTATAGGGAGTTATTGAGTGCAAGTTAAATTTCTTTAAGAGTCAACAAGTGTGGCAATTGTTCTCGTAGTAGGAAAAGATGGAAAATTTCAAAGTCACATATAGTTCGATTTGATTGGTTGATTTCTGAATAGATTTGCAAGTTTCTAACAAGTGTAAAACACATGCAAACTTATGATGGATAAGGTCCCAGCATGAGTAATCCAAATAATATTTAAGATATCTTTAATTGAAAACAAAATTCCTTGTAATCACTCAAAGACAATGGAAAGAAACACCAGGTAAACGCATGATCAGTACGGATAAATAGAGCTGAAATACTTGTGAAATTGTGTGAAAAAGGCTGTCGGTGAATGAAATCTCCATATCGTTGTCGTTATTCCTCATTATAACACTATTTACTAGCTGATACCAGTCACATTAATCACTAAACCATGATAAGAGATTAATGTACATGATTTAAAGAATCTCTTATACTATAGTCTTTGTGAAAGTCTTTTTTCCACACTGAAATAATAATAATAATAATAATAATAATAATAATAATAATAATAATAATAATAAAAGAAAGGAAAAAAATAGAACCAAGTGGGAATCGAACCTCCTCCGCCGTGTTTGGGAGCCTAGCACGCTACTACTGGACGTCACCAAATGCTGCCATCTGAGGTAGTGTTATTGACAATATATGATACCTGTCACACATGCCGCAGTTTTACGGAAATTACCGAAGGCTAGAAAATGCCTTCAAAATATACTTTTAACAGATATAATCAAATCTAAAGTAGGGGCACTATCTTTCCACTCCCCTTATGTATTGCTAACACCTTTCAGTTGTCAACAGAGCTTTCTAGTTTAGAAGAAAAATGTGAAAAGGAGACTGCGAATGATCTGCTATTATTATATAGATTGTAAGAAACTAAGTATTTTTGTCGGTGTGCTGTTTTTGTTAATTCACATTCATGTTCATTGGCGCGGTAAGTATCGCTATAAAATAGAAAACATTATAAAAAGAATGGATTAAAAAAACGGATTATAATCCTCACCATTTCTCAATTGCTTTGATGCAGTACAAAGTTATATAATAATAATAATTATAATAATAATCATCTTTATTGAAATATTGCAACCCGAAGGTTGAAGTTATACATATATAAATATATACTTTTTTATTTTATTTATTTTAAATCAAATTTATTTAAATCTGAGAAACCTGATTATTTTTGGCCATGTTGCACTCTATAGTCGCTCTCACCTCCCTTGGGAGGATACAGCCCGGCTGCCATATTAGGCGCTCTGAGCTAACCAACGATTCCTTTCACCACTGCCAGACCAGTCCCCTGCTTCAAAAATTGGTTTATATATTCATAAGCTTGTAAGAAAGTTGGATGTATTAAGTTGGATTACTATCAAGGTACGAAAAAGCACTAATGAATCTGCATAATATATCAATTATAAATATGGTACGGATAATTGGACGGTTTTGCCAGATTAAATGCCAAATGTGTCGTGCACGATGACGAACGTCGTGCTATTGCGCAGTACGCGTATGTATTCAATTCAACCGAGGTGATAAATGTTCGCGAAGGGTTCCAATTAAATGCGGTTTAATGTGACCTTGACCTTTGTACCAGAACGTTTAATATCCCTGGATGTGCCAACAATATTAATCTTATCGCCAGGAGTTAACCTATCCATAGCCGTGAAGAATTTTATTTTATGTTCCAATTTTTTCTATTTTTACTGTTGAGAGAGAACCATCCTTTTAACACATGCAATAACGGGAGTTGCTGAAATTCACAAACGTATAACTCAGTGGTACTTTATACATTGTAATTTTGCCTACGTTTCCAAATACCCTGTTGATAAAAAGGGAAAAAAATAATACCTGAAAAGACATTTATTTCGCCTTTTAAAGGCCTCGCAATGTGAATTGACGCTTTTCCAGTGATTGATAACGAGCTGATGATTATTACCACATGATAAAAATAGCACATGGAAACAAACTTGATTAAAAGAACTGCAGTGCAAAGGACATACATACATTCTTAAATCATGCAGTTCCATAATGGTAGATGGTTTTTCTATTGCTCTATACCTGGGTATTTGTTAAATAATCCTACGTCAAGCTCAGTGGCTAATTGCCCTTCAGGCAGACCGATCCTTACGTACAACTGATCTGAAAAAATTCTGGTTCGGTTTGGACAATATTGAATGTGAAATTCCTTATTTCATCAATTACTAGTGCTTTTAATTTTCAAACCGTCCATATAGTCTTTTTTTGTACCGAACGTCTTCGTAATGTTTGATGCACAAACCTACGCTACGCTGACTAATACACAGATATGCATGGAGAGTACTGAAAGGGATCATACCTGTTCATTTTGGTAAAAAAAGATTTTCCTGGATTAAACGACATTTTCTCACACTTACAAGCACCAGAATCCGTTCCGACATTTTGAAGTAAGCCCCTCCTTATTTATTTATTTATTTATTTATTTATTTATTTATTTATTTATTTATTTATGTAATGATCACTTAAGAGGTTGGCATAGCGGGTGGCCATCTATTTAGGATACGTGGTCTGATGGCAAGCACAGATTCCAGAATAATCGTGATAACCGCCGAATTGGTGGTAAACGAGTTTATCATATTTCTTTGAGTTATTTATTATCTATTTATTGTGAAATATGGATATCATACGAAGTTTTGTTTTCCCTTTGATATAAAAAAGCAACAGAAACGAACCAGTCTATATGTGGTCGCCTTCCCGGGAAAATGAAAATAAGAAGCCCCTCACCCCTGACTCACAGAATCGTGCCAAAATCTTGGCCAGACGAATGCTTCACGTAAACTAGGAATCAGTTACAATATTGAACAATATCCAACGGATTTGTTAATTCCGGAGTTCGGATCCTAAATTTTGAACAGCCCAGAAAATTGTCCCAAATTCACGATCTCCGACACAGCTTCTCGATCGAGCAGGGACAAGGTGGCGTTTTAACTAGCTGCTCGAGGAGGCGAGGCACGCCATTCAGTTACAGGGCTACTACTTAATATGGAATATTATTTTTTGGCGAGTATATTTTCTACAAAATAGCTTCTCGATCGAGCAGGGACAAGGTGGCGTTTTAACTAGCTGCTCGAGGAGGCGAGGCACGCCATTCAGTTACAGGGCTACTACTTAATATGGAATATTATTTTTTGGCGAGTATATTTTCTACAAAATATTTATTTTCTCTCCAACTACTTTAAATCCAAAACTGAGCTGTTACTCCATGTGTAGCCAGGTGTGTTAGCTAATTACCATACAACTCTCGAAACAATTGATGCATGCAGTTGCGTGTTCTGTGGTCACAGATGTGATGGGTGGTCTTTTCGGCAATTTCTGCCCTTTTATAAAAACGCATGGGTTTGGCTAATCTTTGGAGTGTATTTAGATAAGCAACAAATGGGATCGCTCTAAAAACTTGACAGGTACCTTAAAAAAGACATGGTTCGACAGCTAAGCAACGCAGCTTACTATGGGATTCTTGCTCTCAGAGAAATGGCCAGAAACGGACAGCCATTGCCAGGCAATGCAACATTTATCAGGAACCGTTAGTAAAGTACTCCAAAGAAATGCTACTACAGGGGCACCTACTCCAATACCTCGACCAGGGTGTCCACGTATCACACCAAGAAGACAGGATCAACTTCTCTTATACCCCCGTCACACTTTTTCGGAATCAGCAGGAATGAAGAAGAATGAGCCCGAACGAAGAATTTTTTAAAATTCGAACCACATTCAGGGGAAAAATTTCAAATTGACCTTAATTATTGTAAGAGTACCGTTGGAATACTCAGAATGCGCTTGAATTCGCCTCGAATGATGAGTGCATTTTCGACTGTGAAGCTCTCAAAAGCAGTTTAAATGTAGTTGGAAAACTAGGAATATTCATAATGCTGTAAGCAGGCAGTAAGAATATTTAGAATATACTTTGAACGGCGCACTATAGTAGCTCGATTGCTGGCAAAATTAATATTTCAGCTCATCCAAGGCTCATTCGAAACATTCTGGTGGAGTATAAAATCCCCATCACACTAGAGGCGGAATGATTAAGAATGGCGTCGGAAAAAAACAATTCTTTGTGCATTCCAGCATATTCGAATAGCATTCTAAAAACATTCTTGTCGGAATGCCGTGAGAATATTAAGAATGCAGTCACAGTGCTGTTAGAATACTATTCAAATGCCATTCGATAATTTTTCCAAATTTTTTAACATTCAGGCCGACCACGAGAATGGGTAAAACTACTTGAAATGCACTCAGAATTTTTAGAATGCTCTTTGAATATCCAGGAATGCACAAAGAATTGTCTTTCCGACGGCATTCTTGTTCATTCTGCCTCTAGTGTGACGGGGGTATTAGAGTGTGCCGTGCTGGTCGTACAAAGACAACCAGTGTCCTCAGAAAAGAGGGGCAGAATGTCATTCAAACACTCGTTTCAAGGTCCCTCGTGAACAATTGCTTACTGCAAGCCGGTTATTTTGCACGAAGACCAGTGCGGAAACCACTGTTAATAGCACGTCATATACAGCGACGTCTGCAATGGGCTGGGGGACACGTGCGTTTGGAGCCAAAACACTGGAATCACGTCGTTTTCGGTGATGAGGCCAGATATGGAGTTTTTAGGGTTGACGGTCGAATCCGTGTCCGCCGACGTGTACGAGAGGCATAAAACAATGATTGTGTACTGCCTAGGGTGCAAGCAGGGGGTGGTAAGGTCTCTGATGGCGGAGCATTTCATGCTGGTGCCCAGAACCAGTTGGTTTTTCTAGGAGGGAACCTCAACCAGGGTTTCTACAGAGACATTCTACAGCAAACAATGCTTCGATATGTAAGAGTCATATTCAGAAAAACTGTGTGAACCAAGGCGACTGCGAAACCGCACATCGAGCTCGCAGAATCACTATTTTTCTTCCGGTTCAGCAACTGCCCTGGCCTGCAAACTCCCCAGATACGAACACAATTGAATATATGTGGGCGGAAGTAACTCACAGAATTAATAGTGATGAAATACGACAGGCAAATATCACTGCGTGGAATGATATCCCCATCCAAACTTTTAAAAAACTTGTCACAGGGTATGCCATGTAGGATGAGGGCGCTGCAAGCGGCTGTTGGAGGTGATACCCGCTATTGATGATTTTTCATGATTTACTGTAATGAGTTCTTTGACTGTGTAACATATCACTCTTCGGAGGCTATCGTTTTCTTAACATCTTAGCTTTTAAAAAATTTATTTACTTATTTTTTTTTAATTTTAAAAAATTAATACTGATATCAATCTGTAATGCTGATATGGTTTTCTGGGGGTTGGTCTTTTCTTTTGAGTGACATCTTATGTCAGATTTGATATTATTGACCAAAATATCTCACAATAGAAGACTGGATATTTTTATCAATCAATGACATACTTTTTTTGATGAATCAAGCCGAAAAAAAAATAATCAGCACTCAAAATTAACAATGATAAAAACATATTCCAAATTAAGTAGTAACCCTGTATGCCGATTGTACTTATTCAGAGTAGCACCGATCCAACTAGTGTGATGTGATTATCTGAATGCTCCCTAATTACTCTAACAATATTGTGATAAATCGTTCCGCCATTTGTTGTTTTCAACCTTTACGACTCGCAATAATTTGATGAAATCGAGGATCGCTTCCTTGTTATTATTTTTTTCGATAGCTTAAGGCGCTAAGTCTCTAAATACGTCTTGTTGATTGCATTGATACGTTGGACCGCTTGTAAGGTGACAGATCAAACTGAATGTTTGTTGATTAAAACAAGCTTCGCGTCCCTTATGCATTGCACGCTTTCGGGATTTTCCACGCGTTGTTTGGAATCCTATTTCAGTAGGTCAAAGCCGCTCCAGAGAGTCACACTAGATAATGTAACTCAGCATGACCTTCTGGTTGGTGCTCCCTATACGAGATGAATAGCATACATTTTCCTGGCATTAGGACTGATACAATATCGTTTTCAGCGCTCTAAGTTCCAGGGAGATTATTTACTGTAGCTTATGGTAATTTCTATAGCATACAATGCAAATTGAGCCATCATAAGTAACAAAAAAAATCAATATACCTAGATGTATTAGCTGTTGCCTTTGACGCCAAGTTGGTGTTCCTACCCAAAACGTTCACCAAATTACGATACATAGGTCGTTTTTTTTAGTTCAGTTCTAAAATTCTTCTAAGGAAAACAGTAGTTTATCCATTTCATACGAGACGATAAGGATCAGAAATTAAAAAACTCGACAACGGGTGTCTAAATAATTAATTTTCGCCACAGGTATGTGCGTGACTAGGTTATGGTAGGAAAATTGCTGCAATTTCCAAGGAATTATTTATTCTTCCCATTCTTCTGTTTATTGTTATTCTATGTTTTTGTTCTACAAATGACTGTGATGCACTGATTGTTCTCTACCATAGGAGCTGAAAACCAGAAACAATCTAGCTGAAGCACAAAGAAATAAAATTGCAGGATACCCACTAGTACCAGCTTAGTGTTAAAACCTTCGATTTAAAATTGGCAAAACGAATAAAAAAGTTACTCTTACCATATAACGTCAATGAAAATGTCGTCAGTAGTTGAATAGTTATGGGTAAATGTTGAAAAATTCCCAAATTCGGTCCTTTTTGGCCAATTCCTGGCGTTGATCGTAGCTCCAGCAAAAGAGTGTCTTCATCTCTCCAATGCCTTATCAGCAAAGAACCAATAACGGGAAACACTGCCTGCGTCGCTGTGAAGTTGCCAACCCGGTAATTGCCGCGATAATAGGTGTTGATAGCATTCATTGATGCTAAATATCTTCTGGGAAACTATCCAGGCTTATACAAGTCATACTGCAAATAGCGACCGTGGCATTTGCCACGTTCAAGGGCATTCTGATAAGGCCATATTCTCGTGAGTCCGCCTGCAATGAAGACGGTCTAAGTCGAAAGCAAACAATGGATGTCTAATAAATACTTAACGCACGCGATTATGCCGAAACCGAGGCTAATTAGGTGAGAAGAACGCAATTTTGGTCAAGACATCTTTGATGAAATAAAATACCAATTCGCATTATGTGTCTATGCGACGCTGACGGGATTTGTTGAGCAACGCCTTTGAATCTTCCACATATATTCAGGTAGATTAGAGCTAACACATCCTTATTATTATTATTATTATTATTATTATTTTTGCAATGGCATTAAATATGCATTGCCAGTGATAAGGCTTAGAACCCGGATCCCCCGCGGAAAAAAATTAACAAAAGCAGCAGGTTCCGGGAAAAGCTGCGTGTTCTATAGATATCATATATCATTTTCAATTGCTCACATTCAAAGCAATGTTACTGGGGAGAGATTATAGAAGGCTACGCGCCAGAGACACCTGATGCCAATGTGAATTATAGAAAATCAGTTCATAATACAATCATAAATGATATATAAGAGACATGATGTGCAATGCTCTCTCAAAGTATCTCTTTCTGTCTTTCCTCCTTCCTTTCTTCATTCTCTCTCTCTCAATATCTGTCTCTCCCCCTCCCTTCCCCCCTTCCTCACTCCCTCTCTCATTCTCTCCATTCATTTCTTTCCTCCTCCCTCTCTCTTTCTTCCATTACCACTCTTCCCTCCCTCCCTCCGTCATTCTCTCCATTCATTTCTTTCCTCCTCCCTCTCTCTTTCTTCCACT